CCTCCCCCGCTCTCTTGCTCCTTCTCCTGCCATGTGGCACCTTCACCTTCTGCCAGGAATCAAAGTATCCCAAGGCCCCTCCCAGAAGCACACGCTGGCACCATGTGCCTCGTACAGCCTGCAGAACTGTGAGCCCAATACGTTTCTTTTCTGTATAAATTACCCAGGCTCAGGTATTCCTTTATAGCAAAGCAAAACACACCAAGACAATTGCCAGCTATGGAACACCAAGTGGAAACAAGGAGAATCAGCCAGGAGGCTACTTGGTGACAGCCGTATCTGGCTGGCATGCCAGTTTTGTCCCACCATTTCCCAAATGGCCTTGTGGACCATGTAAACAGTTCTAGGAGGGGCGTCACAACGGATTAACAGGTGAGACAGGCACGTGCGTCTCCTGTCCACCACGCACCTGTTGGCTGATCTGGCCTGCCCCGGCCACGATGAGCACAATGATGTTGCCCACAGCCACCGTCAGCAGCCACCCTGCTTGAAGCACCGACTTCATGTTGGAAGGAGCCTGAGGAAGCAAAGCACAGAGAATCCCAGTCTGGATCTCAGCCACAGAGCAGGAGCACAACCCACTGGTTCATCTCATTAGCAGCCCACCCTACAAATGCACATGGTTGAAAGGTACAATGGTTCATCACTTGGGTACCAAGAGACCCTGACACTCAGGTAGGAGCATGCAAGGGTCCCTGGGGGTCTCACTCTCCACATCCTTGCACAGCTGTCCCCCTAGTCAAATGGACAAACTCATTCTGTCTGTGCAGAAGCTTTTCCACGCAAAGCCATGCAGCGTAGTGGGTTCCTGGCCCCGAATGAAGGCTTCTCTGCAGGCTGTGAGCTTGCCCCCTGGTGGCTTTCCTGCCACCTACCGAAACGACTCTGCAAACTCTTACCACCTGTATTACAGTCCCCCCGTATTAGACTGAGAGGTCATTGTGGAAAGGGATTGTCCAACGCATAGTCCCCATCTTTACTACAATGATTAAAAGACTGGGTATGGTGGGATACAACATAACTGTAGTTTTGAGAAAATAATTGAAAACTAAGCTCTAATGTACGAATCTGTATGAGAACTCAGACCTATAAATGAGCACTTTTATGCCTAGCCGGTGCCATTTGGTTGTTTCAGAATGTAGAATTACTGACTCCTGTGACCCTCAGAGCAGCATTAATACACCCGCTCCTCCCCAGGCCCCTCAATCTCTGTGTGTGACTGTGGGAACACAGACGCACCAGCACATGTGCACTCACAGAGCTGAGCAAGCAATGCTCTTACTCAGTAAAGACAAGACTTGGTGGTCTCAAGGGCCTCGTTTTGCGGGAGAGTCCATAATGTTTTCTAGAACTTGTTAATGCTATAAACAGACAGCTATTCCCAATTTAAATTAAATCACACCAGCATTTTCTAAAGGCAGGGGTGTAGCAGAGAGGGGTGGTAAAAACAATCAACAGGAGACCTGAGAATATGAAAATTTCAATCCTGTGATAGAGAAGACCACCTCGCCACAAGTGATGAGAAAATACTGTGGGATCTGCAGAGCCATGTTAACTGTGTTGGGTGGAATGTCTTCAAACGCCTTCACTTCAGCGCAGCCATCATCCTGCACCAATAGGAGAAAAGAGGGAAGAAGAAATTAAAGTCCAGATGGCGTCTAAAATAAAAAGTGTCTAAACAGGCAACTTGACTTTGACTTTCTAGGCTTGTGTGATATGATTTATCAAGTAAGTGTGTGTTTTCAATGTAAATATACAACATTGATCTTTATACTTGTGTTTGAATGGCCTTTGTGGGATTT